ACTCATTCAACAAATATTTATTAAGTAACCATAATATAACAGGCACTGTAACCTCGGGCTTTGGGGATACATGTCCCTTATGGGACTTTCCTTGTGGGGAAGACTGAAGCATCAATCAAATAATCAGGATTAACTGCAAATTGAAATAACTGCTCCAAAGTTAAGGAACAGTATTCTGGAGACACACTAATGGAAAACATTCCATTTAAACTGCAGAGAGAGCCTAGGCATCAACTGAATGAGTAGCAACGAACAGAGAAGGAGTTCAGGAGAGAGGGCAAGGTAAAAAATAAATCTGTTTCTCCATAGCACTGTCACTGGTATGTAGCCCTATCTTACACAAAGAGTGTGTTTCCTGGGAAGGCAAATATTATGTAAGGTCAAAGCGACCCTTGAAAATCCTTTCTCTTGCTCCTCAAGTACAGCTCCACGGCTGGGATGCACAGCCCCATGCATAAAGTAGACATATAATGTGTAAAGTTTACAATAATGGACGTAACTTTATACATAGGGTTGTAACAAATGAAACATGCATTTTAAACATGAAAATCCTACTCAGTGTTTGAAAACTCAGATGGTGAGACCTGGGGAACAGAGGTCTCATAAACGAACAAAAGTTAACATCTCCCTTTACACACTGAAACCAAGGCTGACTCGTCCTGAGTCAAGTGAAATAGTTTTCCATTTACACTGCTGCCTTGTTTTGCCCGGTTCTTTTTTCTTCCCTTGGAAGAAAATTCATAGTGGAACTTCTTATTATTCTTTCTGGAATTACTCAGGCAACTAGTCCTCTTGTTTTAAAAGATTATTCCTCTTTTGTGTGGATGATTCATATCACACACGTACCTTTCTTTCTTTTCTTTAGTTTGAGGAAAATATGCCTATAGCTCCTCCAAAAGTAACAATATCATAAAGGTACAAGACAAATGGAAGTGGGGATAAGCATAATGGAAAATATATTAACATATAGAATACTTAAAATCCACACAAACACTCCAACAATGTATTTGTGTGACTTTGTTGCTGGGCTGGACCACTTTAATGAGTTTGTCAGCGCCTCCACTACTCCTTCCACACGCTGGGGGCAGGGCAGGGCCCCGCTCCAAGCTACACTGCACTTCAGATTTTACGTCAGTCAGAGCCCAGTCAAAAGACAGAAATCACATAAGTCATTTGAACACGGAAAATTGAGATGAGAAATTCTTAACTAGCAAAAAGTAGTTAACTATTAAAGGAGGAAAAAACAAACCACACTAAGGAATAGAGAAACAGCAGGTAAGGGGGGCACAGCACACATTACCTTTAGGGCTGAGGCAGACACCCAAGGAAAGGAGGAATTTGGGAGAAAACACTGGTTAGAGAGGATCTGGGATTCAGAGCTTGTTGGGCAAAAGGGGACTGCAGCCCCCTGGAAACTGAAGAATTCTCTGATGTGTCACCAGCCAAGGCTGCTGGGCAGGACACCACCCACTGGAGGACTGCAAGATTCCACGGGAAGCAAGCCTCTGGAAAACAGCCTGCTGCGATGCCAGACACGTTCACAAAAAAAGAGAGATCTTAGACCTTGTGCAGGCCACTGGCTGTCCCATCGTAGGAAGAAAAGCATCAGACTGACAAGACAAGCCCTGCCCTCTGCTATGTCCGCGGTGTCCCCTTCACTTACTGACACTGCACCACATGCGAGAGGAGATGTTTATGGGCTTCAGCTCCAGGACCACAAAGCAGGGGAAATACA